TATTTTATAAAATTTGGGTTGCAGTAATTCTTGCAAAATAAATCTGGACCCTGAAGCTACTTTGAGGGGAATGAAGATGTGAATTAACAGAAGCAGCATTTATACTTTTTTCCAGAAGATTAAAAGAAAAAGAATAAAACAAGAACCATAAGACACTTGGCATTAACTTGATATGTAAAATGTAAAAATTGAATCGAAATATAATCCTACTTTTGTTTTAGGGTCTATTTTAAACTTTACTGTAAGAATGTTGTGAGATTTTTGTTTAACAGGTTATTTCTAATCCGTATTTTGCTTTGGGGAGATTTTTATATTTAGACCTTAAATATTTATCTGACTCACTAAACAATGAATTGGCATGTACCCTCAAGGAATAATACCACTGAATGGTGTGGTTTGTTCTTTGGATTTTTTTTTTTCCCCAAAACTTATTTGTTGAATTTTAAAGACACCTCGTAGAAAACAGATGACATGGAATCTTAAAAGCCAAATGAAGATGGCAAAAAGCAGTCTTTGCAATGAGGCATGGCACTTCTATGCGTACTTACAACATTTAAGTCAAAGATCAGGTTTTTAGTGCTGTTTTTTAAAAAAAATTAACATTGATACGCTGCCTGCCAAGAATAGCCTCTTGTTCTTTCTGATTTCATTTTTTAGGGTCTGGAATGTCAGATACAATCATTCTCATGATCAGCTGATCCTTACAGGAAGCAGTGATAGCAGAGTTATCCTGTCTAATATGGTATCAATTTCTTCTGAACCATTTGGGCATATGGTAGATGATGATGAACTAAGTGACCAAGAGGACCAGCATCAAGAAGAGAAGTATGAAGTTCCCTGAGTTTTATGCAGATGCTTATAGTTTGTCTTTTCATTGTAATGGTTAACATGCTATGTTTTTGCTGGCTAGGATTTTTGTATACAGGCCTTTCAGGTAAGTAGTTCTAGTTCTTACTTCATTGCTCCTTATTCAGAGTCTTGGGTGGAACCCACTTTTTAAATCTGATTGGCACAGTCACTGTATGTTCACTGGTAGGAAGGGGATGGTGATGCTGAGGACAAGTCCTAAAGTCCACTGGATCAGTGAAAATATTCACCTTAAGGGAGCTCTGGATCCAGTCAAGCACATACAATAATCTGGGTTAAGTGAGAGTTGAAAATCTGCTTTTTGCATTTTCTGTGTATGTGTTCTAACCTTTAGGACACGTTAGCAGTCTAATGGAAGTATAAATACATTAATTTTTGTAAATTTAGCTCTTAAAATTGCTGACTGCTCTAGAAACCAATAACTCATTAGACCTACTTCAAGCAAAACAGAAGTTTGTTTTTGACTGTCTTGGTAGAGAATAGTGCATGTTACTGCAAGCATTTGTAAACACCATTCCACTTGGGTGTGTGAGGAATCACGTATTTTGCATGTGAATTTTGGAGGGATGGGTTTAAGAGTTACTGAAATGCCAAAACAATAATTTTTCATCCTCCATTTTTGTCTACCTTCAACTTTTTCATTGTGCAATATATGATGCTTGTTTTCCTCTCTGTACTTCTTCAGGAATATATATATATATATATATGTATATAAGGAGTTCTGTAGATCTAGTGTTGGCTGGGACTTTCTGATTTTGCAACGAGCTTCCATGGTGATCTTCAGCAAACTCTTCCTTTACAAAATGAAGATAATTATACTAAAACTCATGTAAAATATTTTGAGACCAACAGGCTTTAGTCTGTATTTTTCTATTCTTTGCAACTGTGAATATCCATGTTCTAGGTGTCTGCACTGAGCAGTTGTTTTGTTACGTTTGGTGATTTATTTTAATATGCAAAGCTGTCTGCAATGAAATTCAGGCAGATTACATCCTGAACTTTTAAAATGAAGAGTAGTCAGATGGGATGAGGAACAATGAAATTACTAAGGAGATCCCCCAGTTACTCAGCTGTGCTTGCTAGATGTTTCAGTTAAAATTCTAAATAAAGTTTAGGTTACTTCTCTAGTTGCATTTTGAAGGTTGCTCTTGCACCTTTATTTTATTAATAAAGATGTAGTTTTGCTCCAAATAGTTTCGACATTTTAGTTTGACATAAAGGACTTGGAAACCATTTGCTTTACATTAACTAAGGAAGCTATCCCATATATAGAAATGGTTAATTTTAAATGTACAAAATGTCTCTAGAAGCAATACGTCATGTAAGTGCCTGGAAAATCAAGGTATCAAATTAAGTACCTAGAAAGTTTCTCACATCAACAGTACATACTTACTTTCTAGAACATAACTAAACTACAGCATTTTAAATATGATGTACCTTTTGGTTTCTTACCTTTGGCTTCCTTACCTTGGGGATTGCAATTTATTCTGTTTTGGATGGAAGATAAATAGCGTTAATGGAAGTGAGAAAGAGACCATGCTTTCCTGTGTGTATATGGTGGGAATGTATTAATATAAATAACATCACAAGTAAATACTGTTCTGACAGACGCTGTGTAGTAGGTTATCTGGAGTTCTGAATTTCTGTTGATGTTAGACAGTGTAGGTTGCCTCACTAAAACATAAGTGATTGTTTCTAGAATAGGAATTTTTGAAACCAAGAATATGCAAAGCAATATAACAAATATAACACATCTTTTCCTTTGGTTATGGGATGTAAACCACATCATGAATTACTTGCAGAGTAATGATGTGAAGCCCTTGCCTGTTCCCAGAGGTTACAAGAGTATCAATACTGCCTTTGCTTTTTAAATATGTGCTTTTCAACTGCTAATCTGTTCTCTGTAAAACCTGGGAAAGCACATTGGGTTTTGTAACGTTTGCTTGGTACTGTGAGAGTCTTGTTTTGGTGTGTCCATCCCCCTCCCTGCCCTTGTTATGAGCTGAGCTGGAAGGATGTTTGCAAGGGGCTCACCAGCCTTGAAGTGTTGCCAGATGAGTGTCTGTTTAGCTCTGAGCACATTAATGAGGCAGGGCATAACAGCTGTTGGGAATACTACTTGTTAGTTAACCACTAGTGCCAAGTATTTAGGCTTTACTACCCATTTCCCTCCTGGAGACCTCTTTGAAGAGTCTGTTGCACCGTTCCATGGGTTTTATTGTATGGTTTGGTCAGGTGTGGGGGCTGTGTGTGTGATTTTTTTTTTTTTTTTTTTTTTTTTTTTGCTTGGGTATGTTCTAGACTTTCAAGGAAGTGTTATATTCTCATGGGGTTCATTTTTACCTTTTTTGGAGGATATCTGGTTTGCTATTAAATAGCACACAAATCTTGAAAAACAAAAATGTCTTTTTCGGGTGTATCTTGAAGTACACCAGGAAGAACAGGTGTCTATACAACTCGTGTCTTCAGTCACCTTCAGACTGAGTGACCCAATCTCTCTCAAAATAAGGTTGAAATATCAAGTGGAAAGAAGGAAAAAGGCTCTTTCTCATGGGCTACCTATTTTTCATGTTCTGAATAAAATAACTTGTAAAAACACTCCTTGGATTAAATATAAAAATGAAGCGTATGTACTAGTTGTATCTTTCATTTTTTTTTTCTACTTAGCAAAAATCCCCATATTTTAAAAACGTTGACTTGTAATACTATTCTACACAGCGAAGACTTCTGGGATCCTTAAGACTCATGTTAATTTTTAATATATTTTTGAGTAAACTTTCTAATTTTTATTGTATTTCTTGGCTGGAGACAAAACCAAATAATCTGTCAGTTCAACCCCTCATTGTTCAACCATGTAAAACTATGCATGAGTCTACCCGCTCCTTTAGTCTTGGCAAATTTTCTGTAGTAAATGCCTAGTTTTTAAGGTTCACAACTGAAAAATAATTATTTGGATTTAACTTTTTTTTTTTTTTTAAGAAAAGAATACAGGTTCACTGAGTAATGAATAGACAACAAACCAAAAGCTGCTGTATTCTATTCTTACTAAGGAATTATTCTTTGAGGTTTCTCCTTTGGGTGTTTGTTCATGTGTGTGTTGACATCTTGAGAGTATACATGCTCCCGTCTTGGGAGTATATATGCTCCCATCTTGGAGACCAGAACACGCTATATAACTAGGACTATTGCATGAGGATCTGTCTTTTGCTGCAATTGAGTGACCTTCAGTTCCTCTTAACTGCTGATTCAGATCAGAGCAACTAGTTTGCTGTCTCTTCCCTACTTTTTAACTGCTGTTGTTGTTGTTTCTCTCATCAGTCATAAAAATGTAAGAGCAGCCTCCCTGTATCATATCAAAGGTCTCCCTAGCCTGTATCATGCCTCTGACAGCGGCCAAGAGGAAAGATTATAAAAGCAGGAAAAGGAGATGATATTTCCCCTGGGTATGCTTCTAGCCCCGGACTGTTTGCAGCTCAGGGACCTTTACTGCCTTCTGAATCGTCTTTGGAGACTTCTGAGTCTTCCCTTTAGGATTTTCTTTTGCCATCAGCTGTATTCTTGAGTTCATCTCTTGTCACTGTGTTTTTGTTTGTTCCAAAACATGTTAGCTGTGCATGCACTGCCTTTGTGAAATGTGTCTAGGAGAAATATGCCCACTGTGTGTGTTTTCTTGCACTGAATAAGGAAAGGCTTCAGCGTTTTCTGTTTGGGAAGCCCAAAGCCTCTGTTCAAAGTCGGTAGTCTAAAAAGAGGATCGAGCTGTCCACAGAGAGGAAGTATAGGCATGTGGCCAGAGGAAAGCTATGGTGTATTCTGGTCAAGTCCCTAGTTTGGATAATTTAATGCGCTGTTCAAATATGGCAAAAAATTAGCTGAGAAATGCGGAATGAAATGCTGTACTCCTAGCTTAATTTCTAGCACCTTGACCCAGAGGTAGGAAAAAAGTGTACAAAACAAATGAAAACAGAACAGATGAGGTGAGTATTTGGGGTGCATTTAGCTTTCATCTGCAAAACAAAGCTGGTGTGCCTGCATAAGAACATAGGGAGTGTTTTGAATGCCTCAGTTTGAACAAAACGTTTAAAACACGGGGTCATTCCACATCCATGGATGCAACAGATTAGGGCAGGCTTCTCCTTGGCCTCTCTTTCTTTAGTGGTTTGGCACTGTGGTGTTGCAAGGACTTTCTCCCTGTAACGCTGAACTTGCCTTAATCCCAAAGCCCCTGAAGGTGTCTGTCCCTTTTAGACATCTGCAGAGCACCGAGAACTGTCTTCCTCCAAAGGGAGGTGGGGACTGTCTTATATCCTTTCTTCATTCTTTGGTCATCCAAAGTCCTTATGTTAGTGAGTGAGTCTATATTTGGTAGTATTAAACCAGTCTGACAGTCATTTTAATTCTACATTGCTATTTCTAACAATAAACAAAAACTACCAGATTCTTGCAGCTTAGTGTGACCATTTTTACTCACCAATCAGGCTTCCTTTTCTTTAGTTATTGCAACATATTTATTTGCCTTATTGGTTTGAATTTTAAACTCTGTAGGCCTTTGTTTGGTATGCTGATGATACACAGCTTGAGAAGACCATCCGCTACCTTAGGAGCACCAACAGCAAGGTACATGCTGCATTGTCCTGGTTTCAGCTGGGATAGAGTTAATTTTCATCTTAGTAGCTGGTATAGTGCTGTGTTTTGGATTTAGTATTAGAATAATGTTGATAACACACTGATGTTTTAGTTGTTGCCAAGTAGTGCTTACACTGGTCAAGGACTTTTCAGCTTCCCATGCTCTGCCTGATGCATAAGAAGCTGGGAGGAGGCACAGCCGGGACAGCTGACCCAGACTGGCCAAAGGGCTATCCCATACCATATGACGTCATGCTCAGTATATAAAGCTGGGGGAAGAAGAAGGAAGGGGGGGTGGTGTCATTCAGAGTGATGGCATTTGTCTTCCCAAG